TGTTGGGCATTGCACTAGGTATTAGGGCAAAGATGATTAAGACACTGACAAGATTATAGGCTAATGTGTAGAAAGGCTACCATGCAGATAATTCCATAATACCATTCATAAATCATGAGACAATCAGGGCAGGATGCAACAGTAGCGGTTCCCTAATTTGAGGCTTTGGGGAAGGTTTCCTGAGCCAGGTGATGGCTGGGCTAAGTCTTGAAGGATGAGTTAGCATGATCCAGGTAAAGAAGAGTGGGAAGAACACTCTAGGCAAAGGGATTAGGATAGGATAGGATAATAGAATAAAACTCATAAAGTACCATGGGGTATTGGAAAGCTACAAGCTACTCTATCATCATCAGAGCAGGAAGTTCAGGCAGGGAGGGCTGAGGTGAGGTTGAAAAAAAACAAGCCAGATCATGCTGGACCTTATTTACCAGACTTATGGGTGATAAGGAGCCGCTGAAGGCTCTCAAGCAGAGGAATCTTGGTGGTTTCCATCTTTGCTGGGTCACTCCGGAGTCAGCGTGGAGGGTGGATATGAGGACAGTGAGCCAGAAGGCAAGGAGAACAGCAGGAAAACAGCTGCAGTCAGAAGTATAAGGAATGAGAAGGACCTGAAGTAGAGAATGACAGCAGCGACTCAGAGGGAGGCAATCCATTCAAGAAACATTTAAGGCTTAAAATTGGTGATATTTGATAAGTGAATGGAGGGACAGATAGCAGTGGCACAGGGCAGAACCTGGAAGACCCCCATGTTTCCGATTGGACAGAGTGAGTTGGGGAAGAAGGAAGAGAGAGGAGAGTCAGTTAACTTTGGCATAAAGCTCTCCATCCTCCCAGGTGGAGACACTCAGTGAACACTGGAAAGCTTGAGGATGAAACTGGGAGAGGTCAGGCCTGGAGATATCAATTTGAGAGTCAATGACCTGGGGTGTTTTCTAAGGGGAGGAGAAGGGGCCTGGGAAACTGGGGAACACCAACATTTAATGGTAGGCAGATGAAGTAGAGTCAAATAAGAGATGGAAGCAAATGGTGGGAGAGGTAGGAAGAGACCAAGAAAAGTCTCATGGATGTCAACAGAGCAGAGTTCCATAAAACACACAGGGCTGGTGGGGTGTCCTACAGGCCCAGTCAGCCCTGGCGCTGATGGGGAGATCTCGTCCAGACAAGACTGGTCTATGCAGATCTCATGTGGATTCGCCCAGAACGCGAGGAAGACATGCTACCAAGTAATCCCTGTACCCAAATGAGGCCAAGAAGGGGCAAAGATCTCTGAGTCTTGGCTGAAGGAGGGCCCATGGTTGCACTGAGCATGCACAGTCAGCAAAGAACATCAGGTAGCTGTAACATCTAGTACAGTGGATCTCAACTTTCCTAATGCCGCGACCTTTTAATCCAGTTCCTCATGTTGTGGTGACCCCCAACCATAAAATTATTTTTTGTTGCTACTTCATAACTGTAATTTTGCTACTGTCATGTGTTAGGTGATCCCTGTGAAAGGGTTGTTCTACCCCCAAAGGGGTCACGACCCACAGGTTGAGAACCACTGAGTAGCTCTCCTTCCAGAAAGCAGAGATGCAAGATCAAGCAGAAGTGAGGCCCAGTTGGCACTGATTTCAAATTACCATTCTTCCTTCCTTTTTTCTTTCTTTCCTTTCCATCCTTCCATCCACCCCCCCACCCCCACACTCCCCCCACACACACCTTATTTCCTTCCTTTCCCCTGGATTCTTCATCTGTCCCACTCTGGCTCTGCCATCTGAAGAGAGCTCTTTGGAGCTTTTAAAACCGGGGGAAATGATCAGTGACAGTGGGATTGGTGAAGACATGTCAGAGAAGAAAGCCACAGGGTGGAGAAGGAGCAGGAATCCTTTACCAGAGAAAGCTGGGTGAAATGGAGAACGAGGAAGGGTCGAACAGGGAGTCTCAGGGAGCTTTGCTCATTTGGGAATCTTGCTTTCCCACCACCCCAAATTTTCAAGCTGTTGCTTGGATCACACATACCAGAACTTGAGGCCAGAGGAAGTGATGCTTGGCAACACAGTGAAAGCTTACTGGTGAGAAAAGCTTATCTCCAAAGGAGGATCTCAGCATAGGCCATGTTGACACTTGAAACCCCATTTAAATGTAAGAAGACAAGCCCAGCTTCCAGACTCTTTGAACCTAGAAAATCTGAGGCTTCAGGGCTTTCAGAGCCCATTCTCACAAATAGGACAGAAAGGCGGAAAATGAGATACATTACACATTGGAAAAGTACTTCAACAGGTGGCACTGAGTTCCTGTTCCCAGCAGCACATCCCCTGAGCACGGCGCACTTTCCCCATCTTCACCTACTGCGATGCTACTCGTTTCTTTCAACACTTAGCCCAGTGCCACTTCCACTTTGAAGTCCTCCTGGATTAGCCCTGGCCAGTTTGGCTCAGCGGTTGGAGCGTCGGCCTGTGGACCAGAGAGTCCCGGGTTCGATTCCCGCTAGGGGCACGAACCAACAACAACAACAAAAAAGTAAGAAGTCTTCCTGGATCATTCTAGTTGCAAATAATTGCTCCTTTTATGTTCACAATAGACCATTTTCGTGGATTTCTGTTCCTGGTGCCTGTTTACCTCCGTGGGGTTGGGAGGGTCTGGCCTCCGTCATGTTCACTGTTGCAGGGAGACAGTGTAACACCATGGCTGTGTATCTAGGATCTGGAATCAAATAGCCTAGGTTCAGATCCTCAGGTCACCTTGAACACTTAACTTCTATGAGCCTCAGTTTCCCTATCTGTCAATGAGGTTGATAATAGAACCTAACTCCTCGAGTCTTGTCAATGACCTGCAATGATTATGTGCTTGGCACATCCTAAGACTTACTGCTAGAGTCTTTATTGCAACTCCCCCTACAATGCCTGATATGTGGCTGGTTCTCCATAAGAATTTAACTTCAGCCCTGGCCGGTTTTAGCTCAGTGGTTAGAGCATTGGCTCGCGGACCAGGGAGTCCCAGGTTCGGTTCCCGCTAAGGGCACATACCTCGGTTACAGTTTGTCCCCGGCTCTGGTTGGGGTCGTGTGGGTGGCAGCCACTCGATGTGTCTCTCTCACATCAATGTTTCTTTCTCTCTCTCTTTCTCTCTCCCTCCTGCTCTATCTGAATATAAATGCAAAAATGTCCTTGGGTGAGAATAAATAAACAAAAAAAGAATTTAACTTCAACTCCATGAATCCACTGACTCTCCTGTCCCTGAAATAGATGCTTTAGTAAGGATATACTTTGGATGAAGTGCCGCTGGGGTTCCATAAAGGCAGTTAACTCTTAACAACTTCCTGGATAATATTCAGAGTTCTTCAGAGCCTTGTTTTGAAAAAAAAATCAAGTCCACCCCACCCTTGGTTGTGGATGCATCTGAGACAATACTCCTTGTCTGACCTGAAGAGACGGGGTTCAGGATCGAGGTCTGGCTCTGCCCCCGTGGAGCATTAGGCTGGTAGGTCGAGTCTTCGAGGTCCTTGTGTATACAAGCCCAGTGCCTGCTCTTCCTGATGGGGCTTGGCTGACATCAAGAGCCACAGTCTCCGGGGCAGTGGGAGCTATGGAGCTATGCCCGAGCACTGGGTAATAGTTAATCAGCTAAATTGCCTCACACTCCCAATTGTCTTCATCTCACAGATGTGAATGTTGAGGCTAAATGACTTGCTGTGTCTCCCAGCCAGTCAAAGGCAGGAACTGAGTTCCTACCTAGACCTCGAACTGACTTTTATGAGAAATTATCTTTTAGTCAGCTCTGCTTCATCTCCTGACACTTAAGTGGGACCCAACTCATCACTGGCAAAGCTCACTTCCTCTGTGGGACCAGTGACTGCCAGGGCGGGGGGCTGAGCCCCTGCCTTGTCAGCCCGTCTGCTGTTTCAGGTGGCTGCTCCCGATGAGTGGGTGCAGGAGGAAGTGACAAACTCAGCGAGAATCAGATACTTGCAGAGCTTAAACATTCGGAAAGGCAGCCCACCCACTCGTCGATGGGATAATACATTGTGCAACTTGCTCAAGGGCCGTGCAGTTAAACACGCACAAAACACAACTCTGTCAGTGACCTACACCTGCTGCCCAGGGAGCCGAGCTAACAACTGTTGGACCCCAGCTGACCACAATTTACCCAAACATCTAGGATCCCTAAATCTGAGAGACCAAAGCTTCATCCACATTTACCTTTGATATATGACGAAGTGGGTGTAAAGTGGGTACTGAAGTTAGTCTGACCCATGTTCATATTCCAGCTCTCCACTTCCTAGCTGGCGGACCTCAACTAAGTTACTCGACCTCTGTCTTCATTTCCTCCATGGTAAAATGCAGTTAAAAACAGTACCTACCTCAGAGAGTTCTTGTGAAGACTACACGAGTCAATACATGTAAAGGGTTCAGAGTAGCACCTTGTACCTAATTAGCCTTTGTGTGTTAGTTTTTCTCATTCAGTTATTCCCTTCCATGTTGTCACAGGATAACAAGTGACACGGTGGGAGGGAGAGGGACGGCAAGTCCAACAGGAGCAGCTGGGCTTGACCTGTATGTGTGAATTTGGGGATTTCAGTTGACTTTTCCAGTTCTTGTTCTGTGAGAGATGGGAAAACCCCTGGCTGACTGAGGTGGCAACACTCACCCAAAACTCAAAGTGCAGACTGGCTGGTGTGGCTCAGTGGGTTGAGTATTGACCCAGGCACCAAGATGTCGCCGGTTCGAATCCTGGTCAGGGCACATGCCCAGGTTGTGGGCCAAATCCCCAGTGGGGGGAATGTAGGAGGCGGCCAATCGATGTTCTCTCTCATTGATGTTTCTATCTCTTTCTCCTTCTCCGTTCCTCGCTCTCTAAAAAGAAATCAATAAAGAAAAGAAAAAATTAAAAACTCAAAGTGCGGTCTCCTGAGCAGCAGCAGGAGCATCACCTGAGCCTGTTAGAAATGCAAATTCTCAGGCCCACCCTCCAGACCCACGGACTCAGATACTGAGGGGCACGGCGAAGGGTTTGGGGGTCAACTATATTAGTGTTCTCTCTGAGCTCCTCGATTGCGCAGGGAAAGCACAGGATACGATCCACGAGGGATCATTTCACCCGGGATCATTCGTCATTCCACATTTCTCCTTAAGAAATGTGCTAAAGAGGGGACAAATGGGCCTTGATGAAAACAAAGGAAAGAACACGAAGTTCCTGCAGGTAAGAAGTCAGGTTGTATTTCTCTCTGTGTTCGTGTCCCACAGCCCCAAGCCATCTGCCTGGGATGCTTCAGAGTCACCAGCCCATCACTTCCAAAGCCTTCCCACTGCTCCCAGCGCCCGTGACGGAGAAAGGCAGGCGCTCACCCTCTTTCTTTGTCTGCAGATGTAGAATGAAAAGTTTTCAGAGAATAAAAACCATGAAAGGTTTCATGAATAGAGACAGCATCCATAACATTTAAGGGTCTTAAATTGTCTCTTTTAGTTCCTATGGGCTGCTCATGTATTCTCCTCCACCCACTGCCTCCCAAAATGGCCATTTCATGCCTCTCTTCTCCTCCACCTCCCACCCCAGTCTCCGATGATTATTCTGCTTTATCCTTCACTGAGAAAACAGGAGCCTGAAGACAGGTGATCCTTCATCTTTTCACTTCCAAAACTACCGGCTACCCTCACTTGTGTCCTTTTCTCTGCCCCTTCCCAGGACCAGAGGACGAGTCTTACTCCTATCAAAGGGCACCCCTCTGTGCCCTGGGCCCATCCCACCACCTCCTCCGGCCAGCATCATCAGTCTCTCTCTGCTACTCTAGCATCCCTGGCAGCACGCAGCCCATACATCAGTGCTTTCTGTCTTAAAAGAAATACCCTCTCTCAGCCCCACAACCTCTCCAGCTCCCTCCCCATCTCCTTTTTCCTTCTCAGCAAACTTGTTGAAAGAGCTATCTGGAGTTCTGACCTTACTGGGCATGGCAGAGGGAAGGTGATGAGGTTCCCAACACAGACTGGGGTCAGGCTGCCTGGGTACAGTCTCAGCTCTGCCACCTTCTAGCCACGCGACCTTGGGCAGGTTACTTATCCTCTCTGTTCCTCATCTGTACAATGGGAATGATATTAGAATTTACACCAGAAGAGTATAAGAATTATGTGAGTTAATACATATAAAACACTTACACACTTATTGTAAACCATGTATTCTTCCATTATGATTCTCTCCTCAAGCTACTCTAGTTGGATTTTGTCCCCACGATACCAACATATTGCTCCTGTCAATGTCAAATCTAATGTTGACGCCTCTGTCCTTGTTTTCACAATAGCATTCAACACAGATGTCTCACTACATCCTTCTTGAAAAACTTTCTTCTCTTGGTTTCTGTGACACTACACTCCCCTCGGTGAAGAGGAAGCAGGAATCCAGAGGGACTCCCCATCCAGCCCTGGGGGGAGCAGTAGCAGCTCCACAAACTGCTGGCCTGGGAGTCTCCCCTGCAGGCCAGGTTCTACCTGCAGGCGGACAGAGGAGGTCCCTGGAAATGACAACCTCGCCCTCTACCTCCAGCTGCTGAGGGCTGTCCGGGCGACGTCCTCAGCTGGACTAGGAAACCACTTCCCATGGACACAGCTTTATACGTGAGAGCTGGAGCCCCAGGGGAGCCCACAGAATCTGTTTACTCCACACTCAGCTGTAATTGTGTGCGTACGATAGCAGTGTTTTCTGCTATTTTCCTTTCCTATTACAAATGTACACTATTTCTGAAACATTAGGATTGAATAGGTTTTTGAGGCCTTGCTGAAAATTCAGTCATCATTTAGAAATAGTGTTGCTATAGGATCCTGTCCAAAACTTTACATAACCAACTTAAATGTAGATTTTACAGAGCATCCACTGGGGACTGGACATGCCTGGAGATTTGGGGATCTCAGTGGGTGGGCTGGTTCTTCGTCTGGATGGACAGATGGAGAGACCGTTCGAGAGGTAATGCATCACCTATCTCTTGACCCCACTCAGCTCAATGAGGTGGCCAGAGAAACATGATTTACCAAAGTCCTGGTTGGGAGGTCAGTTGCTCCTTGATATTACTCTCCCACCTGCCAAGAATAAGGAGGGGGTACATTGGGATTTTCCCAGAGGACCTTCTGGTATGGACTCAAAGCTTAGGAAGCAACTGGCATGCTTTTTTTCCCACTGGGAAGCAATATAATAACATTTAAGGAAATTTTAAAAGGAACAAATGACTATTTACCATTTTTGCCCTTTTCAAACCCAACTGTTAGTAATTTTTACATAGTTATTAATTGTGTATCCTTTCATAATCTGCTTTTCCCATTGAACCTAGGTGTACTAAACTAAATATTTTAAAGTAGTTTTACAGCTAAAAAAAATTCCTTGCACCTTAATACACAACAGTTGCAACTGTAGTAACGTGCACCTCCACACTTCCCCTGAGCTGGGCGAGCCCACATCGGGCCGTCCTGCGTGCAGTCTCGGCCCCACGGCCTGGCAGGATTCCTCCATCTGCTGCCCTCCCATCCTGCTCAGCCCATTGTCCTGTTGCACCCGAACATCATGGGGTCCAAGCACCACGCATGATCCAAGCACCTCACAGTCTGTGTTTAAGGATCTAGGACAGTGTTTCCCAAAGTGAGTTCTGAGGTCACGGCCTCTGTGACAAGATTTTCCCCGGCAGAGTTCTGTCGTCAGGCAAGGTTGGAAGTCCTGAATAGTATTAGACTGGACCATATGACATTGCCAGCATTCAGTTGATTTTAACCCACAAAACTGATTATTTCAAAGAGTGTGACTCAGTATATACCCCTCTGGAACATTCACTGTGCAATAAGCATATTAAAGTCCTAAAGTTAAAGAAATCTATTTGATTGTGATTGACTCACTGTTATGAAACTGTAACCCTTTTAAAAATAATATTTGTACACACTTTTGGAAACTAGGGGCTGGAATAATTACAAAGAACAGACACTGACTAGAAAAAAGCACGTGAACGTGGGAGTCCGGAGCAGGACGGAGGGCCGAGCACAGGCCGGGCGAGAGGGCGTCATTTCCCCCCAGGAATGCCCACTCATCTTCCTTATCCAGAATCATTACATTTTTCAGAACTTTCCCTTCTACAGTAATTGTTCCTTGATTAACCTCCCTCCAAACAGGCTTTTTTGTAACCAGTCTCTAACATTTTCTCCCTTATAAAAGTGTAGGGAGGGTTCACGAGGTGACATCAGTGACAACATCCTCAAGTGACAGGTACTAAATAAGCACAGGTATTCTTGTGACTGCCCTCTCATTATTAATAGTATTAATTAGTTCATCTTTCCAGGGTATCATTACCGTCCTCATTCACAGGTGTTGATCTAATCTGCTTACAACGTCAAGGTAAGTGAAGCAGATCAGGAGCAGGAGGGAGACCCCTGGGCTGCCGGTGCCTCGGGGAGTCACGTGCTCCATCAGGAATGTGGACACGTGGCCAGACTTTGTCATTATCCAGCACCAGAGCCAAGTGTCCAAGCCAGAGAAGGGGACTGTCGGACAGGTTTGACTCAGGGCGTACAGTGAAGCAGTGGCTGGGCCAGGACTAAGTCCTCGGTGCCTCCACTCCTGCCCCTCATCCCTCCACCCCCTCCTCTACCCTCTGGAACCCTTCCCATGACCCAGGCTCTAACAGGGTTGTCTGTCATTCACATGCTACCTACCAGTCACCAGTGTAACGGACTCCTGCAGAGGGCCTAGGCGTGTTGACACCACTCAGACCTCCCATTGCTGAAAAGGTGTTAGGTGTGGGAGGAATTACCTAATGCGCGGGGCAGTGAAAGGTGGGAGTTGATAGAGTGCTGTTTCCCGGGAGAACACGGAGTTGATTTAATTAAAGTTGTTCATTGTAACTGGGAGGAATTTAAATGACATTAAATGGGACCCTGGTGGTTTTGTGCCCTGCAGTGGAAGGCACTGCCCAGAGTGAGATGCTTGCAAAAGATACTCTTGGCCGTTCAGACACATCATTCTGCAAACACGTAATTATCAGGAAGGGTGAGAAAAAGCCTTTTTTTTTTTTTATCCTCACCCGAGGACATTTTTCCATTTCTTGTTCAGGTAGAGTGGGAGGGAGAGAGAGGAACAGAGAGAGAGAGAAACATCGACGTGAAGGGACACATCGAGTGGCTGCCACCCGCACGACCGAGCAGGGCCAGGGACAAACTGCAACCGAGGTACGCTCCCCTAGTGGGAACCGAACCCGGGTCTCTCTGGACCGCAGGCCGACACTCTAACCGCTGAGCCAAACTGGCCAGGGCTGAAAAAACCTTTTTGATTTCTCACGATGTGAGTGGAAAGGAAGCCTAGGACTCGCTCACTGAAAGAGCAAACATTGATAAACCCTGAACAGGCCGTGTCATCGTTCAGATCCTCACATCTCATTTGTCCTCTATCCATAAAAGTAAAGTCATCTTAAAAATACAGGGGTGGAAACGCAGGTTTGCAGTTGTTCATCTGGCAGGCACCAGGCTATGCTATTGCACTGGCTTTACCAACGGTCTCACTAACTGCCTCTCAAGCAGTGGGAAGGGGGGGCAGGGCACTGCCTGCTGCTCTTCAGCAGCCAAGGACTTGACTTCCCTGTCCCAATGTATGGTGTGTGGTCCATGCCAGTCGCAGGACTCTCTTGTTAAGCTAGGACAATAACTGGACCTCCCAGGACTGCCTTGAGGACCTGAGGTGATAAGATACAAAACATGGGCACAACAGTGACACTGAAGGCAGCACACAGCTCTGGTGCGTTACGGGACATGTCTGCACCTTTAGTTGAGAAGCTGCCCTGCCCACTGGAGTAAGATAGCTTTATAAAAGCGCCAAGACCCACACACCCTGGACTTTAAAATACCCACGGTCTTAAAGCCTAGTGTTCATTTCCCGCTGAGCTCAGCTTGCAGTCTGTCCACGTGAGGCTGACGCTTGTGTCAGCAGCCTGTGTCGGTTCCGGGGCTGGCCTTTCTGGGGATCACCCATAACCTCAGTCATGGTCCCCTGTGTCGGGTTCCTCCCACGTGCCAGCACACTTCTACACATTGTTAACTCATTGAACAAATATCTATCCAATATCTACCGTGCCCTGGTACCACAGGTCTTAGGGTTACAATCACGTACAAGTGATGGGGCCTGCGAGCATTTAGAGCATTAGAAGGGGAGACGGGGAGATAAGCCCACAGTCAGAGCACAGT